TTTTTTTTTTTTTTTTTTTTTTTTTAAAGTTCAACAACATTCATGGTGAACTTAACGCAGATCTTGACGGAACTCAACCACTCGATCTTGTATTCTTTGTCCCCTGGAACTAGTGTGACACCAGCCATGGCACGTGATGTTAGTGATCTTGTCAACATGTACCGAATTACAGGGGACGACTGGGATACATGGGGAGATGTTGCGGCCCATTTTGATATTTCACGGTAACTCTACCTTTATTCTGATCCTATATATTTCTGTCGTGGATTTATCATGTCTGTCTTTATTTTTTTATTTTTAGTTTTAAATGTACTCGGAACTATTTCATGTTATTTGTAACATTCATTTTGCCTGTAGTTCTTCCAGTTAGTATTACCTTGTAACCTCTATACATTCTCTATTTGTTTATTAGGGATTTTGCAGCTTCTAATATGGTTGGGGCAAAAGGACTGCGTGGAAAATCGTGGCCAGACTTGGACATGCTTCCACTGGGCTCGCTTACAGATCCAGGTAAAATGACTTAATCCTTCTAATCTTAGAGGCAGAGATTGGAAAAAGATAAGATGGATTTAGTTTATAATGAATTTTGTATTTTACGAGACACTATCTTTTGAACACAGCAATGCATTAATATATTCTAACTATATATGTTGTGTTTTTGGCTAGTTGGGGACCCTTCCACTTAATAATGCCTGAAAAGTATTGCCATCTAATTGATATTCATGTTTTTCATTTACACTGGATGAAAATATTGTTCCTTAAATAGAACTAGATGACGATATTTTGTCCGTCCACGGTTACCGTGTGACCAATAACTCAACTCGGACCTAGTGATTACCAATCAACTTTTTTCACTTTCTATGAGTTGTTTTGATTTTAATTTATATAGGTTCAAATGAAGGTCCTCATAGGAAATGTAAACTTAACCTGGATGAGCAAAGAACCCAGGTACTTGTGCATGGCCGCATGGGTACTCACTGTTTCTCTTTTTACCAACGTAAAAAAATTACATTGAAATCTGTAAATTGTGATACTCAGGTGACATTGTGGGCCATGGCCAAGTCCCCTCTCATGTTCGGAGGTGATATGAGAAACCTTGACCAATCGACATTAAGTATAATCACAAACCCTACTCTCTTAGAGATAAACTCCTTCAGCTTGGACAATAAGGAGGCACACCCAGACCCTTGACTAATTTACACAAAATGATGGAAACTGCTCTCTATTCTAATTATCATCTTACGTAGCTTGCAGTTCCCCTATATTTCAATCCCGAAATCAAGAAAAAGGCAAAAATCCAATGTGAAGGAGCCCATTGAATTCAGGCTTACTAGCTGCCGAGATATCAAGGCCAAAGGCTGGTCTGATGGGGCCATTGATGGCGATGATCAAGAACAAGTGTGCTGGAAAAAGGAGTCAAGAAAAGGATATCAACAGCCGTTCTGCCTTTACAAAAGAACAGCGCCTGTTTTGTAAAATTTTGTATTTTATTTATCCTTTTTTGTACTTGCATCATTTTTTATTGAATCTGTTAACCATGTGACCTTTAGGATTTATGGTAGTGCTGTTGGTGCAGAGATGACGACCTGGCCTACCGACGTAATTGTAATCACAAAATTCACTTATTTAATACAAAAACAACGGAAATTTGCCTTGGTGCCTCTGCAAATCAACGACTGACTTCCCAAGAATTAAAAAGGGGTTCGTTTTCATATTGCAGTTGGCATGCCAACCAGGTATTTTCATTCTTTTTTTTTTTTTTTGCATGACATTTTTGCTCTGCCCGATCACGAAGAAGTTCCAAAAATGAAGTGGATTTAATCTCTAGATGCCACATATATTGGTACAAAATAATTCTCTTTACTGAGCAACCAACACTTCTCGGTTCCAAACAGATATGGGAGCTGAAACATAGTGGCACCTTGCTGAACAGCTATTCTGGTTTATGTGCATCTATTAGAACAGGAAAAGGTGATATTTCATATTATGTCCCCATCACTTTTTTTTTTGTTTATTTGTCACCTGTAGTTGATTAGTCGAACTTTTTCTTCAGCTAATTCTGATTCTGCCAGAAGCCGTGCTTGGGTTGCTACTGGAAGAAGAGGTTTGGTGCTCATAAACTTATAGTTGTTGTGTTCTTTCAAAGTTTTTCTTGTGGGATATATTTTATAGTTAGCGAAAGGGGAAGGTGAGAAAATATTTTTACAGTTGTTTAAGTAAAGTCCAACATTTACTCCTTCCCTCAGGAGAAATTTATGCAGCAATTTTCAATTTGGACACCCAAAAGGCTGAGATATCAATGAGGATAAGTGACTTGAGGAAGGCTCTTCCTGGTAAAGATTTCGAGCGTGCTTCATGCAAGTGCAAAGAAGAATGGACTGCGAAAGACTTTGGAGTCGTAAATGACTCAATTTCGACACAAGTGGAAACCCATGGGGTTGCTCTTTTCATCCTCAATTGTACTTTTAGCTAATTATAAGATTACGCTCTCTAGGCCGTCTAATGAACAATGTTCATGCAACACTACTAAAAGATATTTGAGCTTCACCATAAATGCCAAAGGAAACGGTGCTGCAATAATAAAGTATGGCCTTTGCATATATTTCCATATTTTGTATCATTCTGTACTTTCAGTCCTGTACAGAAATACCCCATGTTTGATTTGTCTTAGATTTGCTTCCCTCACAAATGACACATGTATTTTTAGGGGGAAAAATAAAAAATAAAATCCTTGATGTTTGGTTCTAGTTTGAGTTGATGGGGGTGATTCAAATATCTTTCGGGAGTTTTAAACTAGTTTTATATATTTTATCGGGTAAATTGCACTTTTGGTACCCAAACTAAAGTTCATTTCGGAATCAGTACCAACTTTTTAATAGTTGCAAAATTAATACTCAAACTTTTATTCCGTTTGCGACGTTAGTACCCGGCGTTAGTTGTCCGTCAAACAGCCGTTAATCGTTACCGTTAGCTATTAAAATGGAGGGAAATATGTTCTTTTTGCGCGCCTGTTGTACTCTATATATATATGGCTTAATGTAGCCATATTTTCCCACCAAAATTCGCATCTCTCAACAGAAAATTAGGAAAAATTAGGAAAAATCCAAAAAAAAAATAAAAATGAGAAGTAATTCTAGTAGTTCTTCTTCTTGGAATAATAACTTTCCTGTCCAAAAATGTTGGTGTCCTTTTGGTGAACAGCTCCCATTGAAGACATCATGGACAAAAACCAATCCCGGAAGAAGATATTGGGCATGTCCAAAATACGGGGTATTATTTTCGATTTTTCTTTTTTATCATATTCATAAAAATTTATGATTGTATTATTCTCTCTTGCAGACAAATGAATATTGTGGATTTTACAAGTGGTTGGATCCGGAAATGTGTGCTCGTTCCAAACAAATAATACCCGGACTGCTTTCAAAAATCAACAAGCTTGAGGATGAGGTCAATGACTTCATGATAAGACAAGGAAAATTGGAAGCTGATTTGAGGAAAGCCAATAGCAAGAATAAGAGTTTGGAAAAACAACTAGCTGCATTGAAAAATGAAAAGAAAAATTCCATTGTAAAAGTAAGAGTATTTTTTCTACTTGTAGTAATTGTGTTCTATGTTCTAAGTAGCAAAAATTAGCAATTAGCAAATGCAACTTATGTATTCAGCATTTTCCAAGTCAATGAAAGCAGCATTTTCATTTTCCAACATATGAATCCCATTACAAATTATTTAACCAAATGCAATAGTATCATCTGTCTGAACTCAATCAAAGAAAATGAACTCAATCAACATTATCTTGACAATCCATTATAAATAATAGAAATCCACAGTCAATCACCACAAAAACACTTCCACAGCCTTGTTCAAACCACAATCCATCATAAAAAATCCATCATCATACCAGAAGTCCACAGTCAAGCCAATTAGTCAACACAAATCCATCATCATACCAGAAATCCATCATCATCACAGATATCAATCACAACACAATTAAAACAAAATAAATCCAAATAGTCAAACAACATAATTTCAGAATAAGCCAACACAAATCCAGAGTTACTTGTTTGCAGCCTTGTCCTTACCAGGAGCTGCCCCATTCCTTGGCCTCAAAGCAGCTCTGATGTTGGAGACTGTTATGTAATTCACACCTCCTTTCACCACAACAGGACAAGTGACTCCCTCAGATTGAGTGACCTGCATTTGTACAAGTGATTAAGGAATTATTTTGCACAAAGAACTCAAAATCCAATCCAACTGAAATAAAATTTTCACTTCTATAACACAATAACTCACATTGACAGTCTGTCTTTGATCCTCATTGCCATTTCCATCCAACTGACTGCTTTTTCTCTTCCTTGTTGTTCTTGTCTTTTCCTGAGACTATAAAAATAGACAAAATAAATTTGACAAGTTTAAATCAAAAGACAGAGTAAAAACATAGTAAATGAGGATGATGTACAATTAAAAAAAAAAAGATAAAAAGGGTAAATTACCCTATTTCTGCTAGCTTCAACATCATTGTTGTTGTTTGCAGGTGTTGGTGCAAGTGACTGACTTGAGAAAACATTGTCAGTAGCTGGTGGAGGCTGAGATTCACTCACTGGGATCTCCTCTTGTTCTTCATTTTGGTCAGCCTTCTTATGCTTTCTAGCATTGTGGCCATGTTCTCCACAAACTCTGCATGTCACACTCCTCTGGTGCTTTTTCAATCTCAGGGGATTATGAGGCAATGCACTTGGTGGCTCAGTTGGATTTCTTCTCCTTGCCTTCTTAGGTCTTCCAGGTCTCTTCACAATTGCAGGAGGGATAGGTGGGGGAAACTCAACATTAGGCCACAAATCAGGACCATTTATCCCTAATATTGGCAGTTCATATGCCTTTCTATATGTTTCAACAGTGTACAAATGATCAACATACCACCCTGGTTCTTCTTTTCTACACCAAATGGCAGAAATAGCATGCTTACATGGGAGCCCAGTCAATTCCCACTTCCTACAAGAACAAGATCTTCCAAGAACATCAACAGTGTGCTGTTCAAAAGGCCCCATGATTTGAAAATTCCACTCATCAGACCTCATAGGAATGAGTTCTCCTGCCTTCTTCATGTTCCCATCCAAAATCATTTTTATCCTAGGACAGATACAACCATCCCATTTCTTTGCTTGCTCCCTGTTGGTATGCATCCTTGCCATCATGATGTTTCTCACTGTATCAAGCAGCCCAATGATGTGTTTTTCTCTAGCAGACAGAATAAGTGAGTTAAAGCTCTCACACATGTTATTGGTCAAGATATCACATTTAGGTGTTAAACTAAAGTGAGATCTTGACCACTGATTTGGAGGCTTCTTCACTAGCCACTCATAAGCCTTAGGATCAACAGACTTTAATTTATCCATTCTTGCTTTGAACTCTTCAACCCTAGTACATCTTGCAGCAGCCCACAGTTCCTTCTTTATTGCCAAACCTAAAAAACCATCCTTCTTCATGTTGCTATGAAGGTGTTGAACACAAAATCTATTTTCTGCCTCTGGGAACAAACTCTCAAAAGCTGGTATTAGTCCCTTCTGTTTATCACTCATGAAGGTCCACTTCTCAGCCTCACTTATGCCAATATCATCCCCCAACAGAGATAAAAACCAGAGCCATGAATCTTTGGTCTCAGCTTCTACAACTGCCCATGCTATTGGAAACATGTTGTTGTTGGGATCAATCCCACAAGCAGTCAACAACTGACCCCCATAGCACCCCTTCAAAAAACACCCATCAACCCCAACCACCTTTCTACAAGCTTTGAAACCCTCCTTACAAGCTTTAAAACACACATAAAATCTATGAAACTGATTGACCACACCCTCATTTTCAATTAATTTGAGGACCACAGTTGACCCAGGATTAGACCTCAGTAACTCAGCACAATAATCCCTCAACTTACTATACTGTTCTTTCACATCACCCTCAAGAAGCCTTCTGGCAGCAATTCTGGCCCTATAAGCCTGATGTTTGGAGATGTTTGCCTTCAATTTAGAACACACATGTTCCCTAAACCCTGTTATTTGTATCTTAGGATTTTTTTTGACTTCTTTCATAAAATGTTTACCCACCCAAGTTGACTTTATAGCAGAATTATTATAGCTCCAAGCACAGTTAGTGTGTTCATCATTGAACACCTTAACTTGCCAAGTACTGCCATGTTGCATTGGAGCAACATATGCTTTCCATTCACAACCATCAGTCTTGCACCTTGCCCTAAGCCTTCTGCTGTCATTCCTATCAAAGAAAATTGACTTCCCAGCCCTAAAGCAGTAAGTCTCAATGGCAGACTTTGCCTCTGCTTTGGTACTAAAAACCAGTCCTAATTTAAGGGCTGGCTTCCTACTATCTGTAGTAGGGTTGTACTTGGGGTACTTTGGCATGCACAAGTCATCTTCATCAGAACCAACCAAACTCTCAAGCTCATCACTACTATTGACTGGTTCTAATGTGTCCCCTTCTAATCTAGAACTAACTTCATCTCCCAACATGTTTTTCAGAGGGTGGGAACTCTTACCTAAGCCAACAAACTCAACATCATGATCAACATATTTCTCATACAACCTATCATCCTCCATCATGTCATACTCAGAATCAATTAACACATCACTATCATCACTGTCACTATGACCATCACTATTATGTTCTACAATTGGATCAGAGTGTTCTTCTGTTTGTGGTGTTGCTGTGTTAATGTCATCAAGAAAGGAAAAATCAAGAACAGGTTCTTCATCTTCATGCAAAGTAGAAGGTAAACTAGAAGGCAAACTAGAAGGCTGCATAGGTTGTGGATGGTTTAAATGTTCAATGTAAATGAGAACCTCTCTATTAAGAGGAATAAACTTCATAATATCAAGCACATCAGAATCACTGGACAAGATTTTTGCTCCCCTATACAATGAATGACCATATTGATGCCAAAACCTAATATTTTGCTCCTCATAACCTAATTGTTTGGCAAAATCATTCATTTCAATAAGACCCAACATGTCCCCATCAACACCATCAAAATAATCTACAAAGCCCCCTCTGTAATACCTTGACAAGCTTTCAATCATCTCCCCTCCATGAAAAAATTTCAATGTGAACTTCGTATCCTCATCTGGGCAACATAAAAAAATAAAAAAAAAAATTAAAACCTTATTTTCAAGCAGTGTTAAAGCAAAATCGAGCATATTACATGAATTTAAGTAGTGTTAAAGCAAAATTTACATGAAACATACCGTATACTGGAGTCTCTTTCGTATCTGCTCGATCTCTTTTCGCCATAGAATCGATTTGGAATTTCAATAATCGGGTGGGATTTGAAATACACAAGCGGCAATTACTGGACTTTACTTGCAAATCGAAGATTCAAGCTGCAATTTCAGGAATCGCGTTGAAATTTGAAGAGTCGGGCTTCAATTTGAGTAATCGAGCTGAACATTGGAGAAAAAGAGTAGCAATTAGAAGAATTCAGTTGGAGATTCTAAAATCGGGCTTCGATTTGAGGGTTCGATCATCATTTTGATGAATGAATTGAAAAAAATTGAAAAGTTAGGGTTTCTGTTTTTTCAGGAACGCGAGAAATTGGGGAAAAAATGAAGGCATTCAAACCCTAACTGCGATGTTAGTCAAAATCATTAACGACTAACGGCTGTTTGACGGACAACTAACGCCGGGTACTAACGTCGCAAACGGAATAAAAGTTTGGGTATTAATTTTGCAACTATTAAAAAGTGGGTACTGATTCCGAAATGAACTTTAGTTTGGGTACCAAAAGTGCAATTTACCCTATTTTATCTGTTTTTAATTAGGAAAAATGTATAAGCTCAAGGGTGATTTGTAATTTTGTAACTTTGGGTTTGTCTTGTAACTATACCCATCTTGGAACAATTACTTAACATTCTCCTAACTTTGGGTTTGTCTTGTAATTATACCCATCTTGGAACAATTACAAGTCTGTAAACTTGTTACCACCAGCTTCATAAATTATATGAGCTTTTTTTCAACATCTTTCATGTTCATTCTGCTCCTTTTATTTATGTATGCTTTCATTTAAGGCATTTATAATGGCCTTTTGAATCCAAGTTTCTTTCACCAATTTCTTCTAGATTTTTCAATCGAGCTATGCGTGACTATAATGAAGAACCCTTCTGATTCTTGCCACACATTTTGTCTTCGCTAGCGAAACTTAGAACAAGATCTTCAGCCACACTCCAACTAACATTTTTCGTTCCTTTTTGAGGATTTGTGCGTGTCTATTGCACATTTTGAAATAGATTTCGGGAGATGTTTTGTGGGGGTTTGGCATTTATAGAAACTGAAAATTGGGTAAGATTAGGAGAAAATGGCTCTTGTGAATAATTTTCGAAATTCTGAAAATTTTCAGAGCTTGACAAATTTCGAGAATTGAGGTAATACTCAAAATTTGTATGCATATGGTATTTGTTGGAAATTAAGAAAAATAAAAGAGATGATCAAATTAATAAGGTATGATTAAGAAAATGGTGAAAAGAGAGAAATTTCAGTTGTGATCTAAAACATATCAAAAGTTGTCTCTATTTATAGAGAATGAAAAAATATAAATTTTGATATATAAGTTTTTTTTCAAAATATAATAAACTCAATAATTGAGATATCTTATCTTATCAAAATAAAATTATGACTTCCAATTAAATAACATGTGTCTTATTCCTTATCTAACTCACCAATAATTGAATTAAAAAAAAAAAAAAAGCGTCCCGCGCCCGGTTGCGACTCAATGTCACAATGTGACCAAGGTGGCGTATTATCCTCAACAACCCATGTTTATCATACTTACGACAAATTAAAAAGTAAAGTTAAGGATAGAATATATGGAATAATCCGGCACACAAAGCGACGCAAAGATGACAGTGAAGAAATTAAAACCCGGACCATGACATGAGGCAAACACGTGAATTAGGACCACCTTAAAGTTTCCTCTTCTCCCCTCATCTATTACATCTTCCATTTTCACTCTGATAATGGACCCTCTTCTTCCTTCCCCAAAGCTACTACTATTCACTATTCTGCTACCACTAGTTTCATTCAGCTCATTGGCACAATATCCTAATAATAAGGCTCCTTGTGATTTCCCGGCTATATTCAACTTCGGAGACTCGAATTCCGACACCGGCGGCCTTTCGGCGGCTTTCGGCCAGGCCCCGTCACCCAATGGGGAGTCCTTTTTCCATGGCCCGGCCGGCCGCTATTCTGACGGCCGACTAGTCATAGATTTTATTGGTAAGATTTTTTTCTTTTCTTTTTTTTTTTTTT